GATTGGCATTGTTGGTTTCATGACTAATAAAAACGAGAAAAACGTGTAGTTTAAATTATTAACTTATCTTTATTACTTATTTATCTTTACTATAATTATATGTTTATTAATCAATATAATCATGTTTATGAACGATGATCGCAATAGTGTGGTGATGCCTTTATTTTTAATTTCAAAAATCTCATATTTGTATTTAAGTCTAAGGTTATAAAAATAGTATTGTAAATTGATTAGGAATAGATTTTGGATTAGTACCTAATAAACTAATTTTAAAAAGACATTTAATTTTTTTTAAATGCATATTTTGATATTTATTGAGCATATTTGCATGTATTTTTTAGTGTTTTTAAGGTCATAAACATCCTAACCCTACTCATTATAGTTGAACTTCATTATTAGATATTATTGTTTGTATATAATTTGAAAATATTATTTACGTACTCAAATAATAAATATCTTGATTAAATACATATTGTATTAATTGATTTAAAATTTAAGTACATCAATATTTTCAGATGTGTTAAATACTTATAAATTATTATTAATATAACAATAATTATGTTTGAAGTTAAAATATAATTTCAGATTTTTAAACTTCTTGAAATCATATTTCTAATTAATGGGGTAATATTATTAACATTTAATATTTTTTTAGGAATACATTTTTAATAAATTTTTTTTAGTGAACATTTTTAATTCAAAAAACAATAACCAAAGCGAGATCTTAAGTATCATCTAAATATTTTTATCATATTTACTTATAAACAAAAACAAGTATATTTACTATTTTTGAACTATTTATAGTGACTTTTCTGGCTGTTTTTTTTAGTTATGCACAGTCATTAATAAAATAATGTACCTTTTGAGATGAAATCATTAAATTAATGAAATTGATAATAGCTCAGTGTATAAACTTTATACGTTAATATATATAATTTAAATATACACACACATTAAAAAATAGTTTGAATTTTGAATATGTATTTGTATGTTATTATTATTGACAAAGAAAATTTTTTCTATTCCTATTTTATAGAACATACCTATTAATTTCACAAAATATTTATATTTTCATAAACTTTTATTCAACGGAAAAATCGTAAATTAGCTGTAAGTGTTCAAAATAAAGGTTAATTTTATGACTAAATATAAAAATAATTTTTTTAATAAAATTGTTGTTTTAATAATTACAAA